TAATAATATAGGTGCAGCTTGGTACTAAACTGTCTTCAACAAAAGCTCCTGGGATGTTCCTGTCTATTGCTGACCTGAGAATACAAGTTATTTTGAAAGCGAGTATCATCATTTTTATAAATGCTGGTGAGTTCATAAGTATATAGTGTCATTTGTGTAAGTAAGTATTTTATTCAAAATAACTTTATAAAAGTAGTAGTTTAGAGATGATGGTGTATTAGAGTTCTTTCCAGAAAATCCTATATTTTCTAAATAAAAGTAGTCTTCTACCAAGACCCAACAGTGTTATGTTTTAAAGGGAATTTCCCTGAAATATTATCATTACCAAAATACGGTATTTGAATTTAAAGAAAGTAGGAGAATATTACTAGTAAAAGTACTAAAGGAAAATATCATATGCCTCAACAGAAGATACTGCTGACTAAGGCAAAGAAATCATAGACTCCAGGAGAGTATCGAATGAAAGATACAGCTAGCAAGGTCTAAAACAAAGAGTGATCCTAAGAGTGTTGTTTCAGAAAAACAGTGTTAATTCTCGTTACCTTAAGGCCATGAATTATAAGGTAAACGTGGAGATACTCGTAACCATACTGATTGACACTAGAGTACTTGACGCCCTGCAAGCATCAGAATAAATATGACATTTATCACCCCTTGGCTTGGTAGGCCGTGGACTGTAGCTAGCAGTCAGGGTGCGGGAGTGTCAATCTCGTATAGATCTATACACACAATGTAAGCTCTCCCTACAAGAGACTCTGGTTACCAATCTAGACAACGGAGAAGGTCGTGTCCTGAAGATGTATCCCAAACAGTGAATTCTGATGTAAGCATTGGACTAGCAGTAGAGACTCATAACTGAACTGATCTATGCAAACCCATATGTCTATACATGTATACATGATATATAACTAATGATCAAATGAACTTCGGATGGATATCCGATCCCACCAGACCACATCCAAACGAGGAAAAGGAAATAGGGCGAACTAGCCTTCCTAAGTCCTTTAAACATTATTTATATAGCTATACAAGTATAGGCATACATTTAACTAAGTAGAAGCGTTAACAAAAGTAGAAGTGTTTCATGAAGTAGAAGCGTTTCTCAAACTGGAAGTGCTAATAAGGTATAAGCGTTTACGAAGTAGTAGCATTAATAAAGTAAGAGTGGTTCGTAAAGTAGTAGCATTAATAAAGTAGGAGTGGTTCGTGAAGTAGTAGCATTAATAAAGTAGGAGTGGTTCCTGAAGTAGTAGCATTAATAAAGTAGGAGTGTTAATAAGTGGAAGCGTATCGTGAAGTAGAAGTGTATCGTGAAGTAGAAGCGTATTACGAAGTAAAAGTGTATCACGAAGTAAAAGTGTTAACAAAGTAGTAGTATTTAACTAAGTAGGAGAATTAACTAAGTAGAAGTATAACGAAGCAGTAGTATCTAACAAAGTAGGAGTATAAAAACATGGAAGAAAACTTTGACGAAAACTTTGGAAAACCTTTATACGTAAGACAATCATGACTTGGTATTCTTTTGTAAAATCAGTTTGAAAACCTTTAGAAATCCTTTGAAAACCTTTCATAAACACGTTTTGATCATAACTTTGATAAAACAATATAAGTAAAGATCTGAACAACTAAAGACATTTTAGAAAACCATTTACAGTATTATACTTGGTACAACAGTTCACAGTGTGATAAATCCTTGTGCATGCGGGTTATCAATCACATGTGATTGATATGATAATTAGCATGTTTACTTATATCCCCCCCATAAAAGCATGTAAAAACATTTAAAAGGTTAATTCAGGGGTATGAACTCACCTGTTGTAAGTGAATCGAACGAAGGTGCCGGTTAGGTGCTCGGTGTCAAGTAAAGACTTGAACACACTTAGTGACCTATTAAAATATGATGACATATGTTTACATACAATTAGTAAATATAATTCTAATTAAACACGTATACGCATCCTAAAGAGCGGAAAACACTTTGATCAAGTGCTAGGGGTGTCCCCGGGGTAACATTTATAGGTATGCATGGCCTAGATAGGGAGTTTAATCTTCAAGAGTAAACTCTTTATAGAGTTCACGGCCCTAAGACCAACTCCCCATGAGTTTACGGCAGTAAACTCATGGGAGGGTGTTCTAGGATGCTAAATGGTCTTATGTCACTCATAGAATTAGGCTAGGTCCAAATATAATGCATATGAAGGGGTTTAAAGCTTTAAATGGACCATTTGAGGAGTTTACGACCCTAAACAAGGAGTTTACAGCCGTAAGCTCCTATATGCATGTTCTTTTGGTGTTTTAAGGACTTAAATGGTAGGAAATAAAGTTCTATGCATTTTTCCAAGTCAAATGAAGGAGTTAGGGCATCATTTGGGCACTTAATGGGAGTTCACGATCCATGGACCAATTCTAGGGGGGTTCACGGCCGTAAACTCCTATTTCCTTGGTTTCTTTAATGTTTAAAGCATTTACTTCAATGGGGTTGCTTCTAGACATTTTTCCAAGGCCATAGGAGGTGTTTGAGGGCATTTCTAACACTTGAATTTGAGTTTACTCCCCATGAAGAGGAGTTTACGGCCCAAGCATGTTCTTGGGCTGTAAAATCAAGTTTACTCCCCAAAAGTTAAGTTCAAGGTGTTTAAGTCCGTTCCCATAAGTCATTTAGCCATATCTAAGCCTTAGGGGTAATTTTGAGGGGTTTTGGGGCTTAAAAACCCCACTTAAGGGTGTTCATGGTCCAAGAGTGTTCTTGGGTCGTAAACACATAATCTTGCCCCTATTTGATGTCTTAAACACGAATTTGCATGTTAACTAAACTATACAACAAGTTACGATAGATTACTTACTAGTTTGGGGCTCGAAACGGGCGTTTTTGGCTCGAAAACAAGTTGTAGAGAGAGAGAGTGTAGAGAGAGAGTGAAAATGGTGGAAATGAAGTTTACTCTCCCTTATATAGGGGCTTGAGTTGGGGCTCAGTGGAAATCTACCCGATACTGCCGCTAAACGGGGTTTTTGGTCGCACCCGATTAAGTGGTCGTATTTCGACTTAGTTGAAACTAGAACTTTTCAAGGGATTAATGAGGGTGTTTCTAATTTGTTTTCAACCCTTAACAAGTCATTATAAAAGTCCCACATTAATTAACCTCTTCCAAAAGGTTAACGGGCAGTTTAATAAAACAAGGCTTATTAACGGAAGGAGGGGTTAAATATGACGAAATTTTTTTTCGAGTTGTCACAATATGGCAGCAAATCCCTTCTATGCTCTATTCTTATTTTTTCTTATTTTTAATATGTTAGTTAATTAAGTAATACATAAAGGTTTGCAAACTTTTGCTTTAAATGGTTTCAAACTTTATAATTTTTTATTTTCACCTACAATAATATAACTTGTTTGTTTTACCAAATGAATGTTAACCTGCAAATTGATCAGACCTAGACAACCAAAAAAGACAGGGAAGCTTTAATTTTATTCTTTTACAATGATTGTTCTCTAAGAATGAACTCGAATTTTATTCTCTACTTTTTTTCATATCAGAATGCAAACACAAGTGTATCACTACAAATTACTTGGCAATGAATTTATGATAGAAATGGCTTGAAGAATGGTTTGAAGACCTGATGGGAAAGGCTTAAAGAATGAATTAAAGAATAATCACACTCATTGTTTAAGAATGTTGTTATTTTTTAAGAATTATACTTGTTATTCTTTCAGAATGTTTGTTATTATTCAATGAATCATAATCATACAATATAATTATTTGGTATATTATTAGTTCAAGAATCGATTTTGTGTATTCTTTCAGAATGTATTTACTAGTTTATTATTCAATGAATCCAAAAAATTCCTTTTTTAATATATGTTAATTGACTAAAATATCATTATGCTCAAATTTGTGTGATTATATAATATATGTTATCTTATTCTACTATCATAGACCCTCAGATCATGACATTTGATTATATTCCATCCAATGGTCCAGATCTGTGCATTCTGGCACACAGTAGTTACTAAAAACAAAATAACCTAACCATATATATATATATATATATATATATATATATATATATATATATATATATATATATATATATATATATATATATATATATATATATATATCGATTTTATAAGCAACATTAACACCAAAACAAAGTGATTAAATTTTTTTTTTGAATAACATATCAACCTACTTTGTTTTATCTTTATATAGTAACAATAAAATTTATAAATTTACACAACAAATATATACATATTTCGAATTTTGTAATGGTATTATACCTTACAAAATACAATTTCCTTCAAAATAATATTCATCGATAATTTCATCTATAATTTCACCTAATGTAGATTTGTAATTTCCTTATATAAATTTTTTTAATGATCCCGATTTTTTCCCTTCAAAAATATTTCAAGCATTTATTTCTTAGATAATTTTGCATCATTATAATTTTTACTTTTCTCATATAAAATAATAAAAATTACCAATATGCTTATATATTTATATTTAACTTTTATAAGCAACATTAACAATAAAACAAAATGATAGATTCAAGTGTCAATTCATCTTCTTCAAAAAAAAAAAAGTAAAAGTCTTATCCCTAATGTTTTACACATTAATCTTTGGTCAAATTACACTAATGTAATTATCAATGATTTTAAAGATACGTATATGTGACGATGAACGTCGTTCAATTAATAAAAACAAAAAATATTGTCTATAAAAAGGTCCTTCGACGATTATAAATATTTATTGATTTTAATCGATCTTCTACACAATTCAATAATATCAATAACTATATTTTTTTAGTAATTACTATATAATATTTATAGATATTTGTATGTGTTTTTATATGCTTCCCTCGTTAAGTTATAATCTAGTTTTACATGAAAAACATCACACTTTAATCACTCTTGACAAGTAAAAGTGGATTACTAGTTTGTTTGTATCTTGACATTTATGTAATTTCTTCACATTTCTTATCATTAAAATTCATAAATAGTCATCAAAATTGTTAATTAGAATCAAACAATAGCCCAAACAAGAGATATAACATAAGCCATTATCTTCGAAAAGCTATTCAATCAAAACTACCCAAATATCAACAAATCACAACCATGTGAACCTTTTTTTGTTCACAAAACACATGAAAAAAGAAAAAAAGGAAAAAAGATCATGTTTTAATGTTTTATACAACCTCTTTATCCATTAAGCACTTCCATCAGTCTCCTCATCTTCAACCTCCAAAAGAAACGGATCTTTGAGAAGATCAGAAGCTGAAGGTCTGACTCGTGGTTGACCAATACACCTTTCAATAAACCCCTTTAATTCTGAATCATTTACTTTGTTAAAAGCTTCTGGCATCACTCCACTTGTAACTTTCTTGTATATTTTAGCAATACTATCACACTCTGTGTATGGAATCTCCATTGTCGCCATTTCAAGTAAACACATCCCAAATGAGTAAATATCCACCAACTCATTGTAATCCTCCTCATATAGCTCTGGTGCCATGTACTCTGGTGTCCCTAATAAAGAATGTGCCACGTGGCTCTTCCCTACAACTGCTGCTAAACCCAAGTCACCAATTTTAACCTATTTCAAAAACAAATAAATAAATAAATAAACCCCACGTGAATATTTTATATAAAGATTAAAGAAAGAAAGTGAAGTGTTGGAGAAGGAATTTTACTTACCTTTCCAATGTTGCCATTGATGAAGATGTTGCTACAGTTGAGATCTCTGTGAATGACACATGGGTCATGAGTGTGGAGATAATCTAACCCTTTGAGAATCTGTTTTGACCATTTCTTTAAGGCTTTGAGGGAAACTCGTTTGTGTTTCTTTCTGTAATCTCTTAGATTTCCTGATGCGCATGCTTCGGTGATGAAATTCAAGGTGTTGTGCTCTGTGTTCCTCCAGAAGCCATAGAGAACGATGAGGTTTTCGTTGTTTAATGTCTTGAGGAGTTTTACTTCTGAGAATAATCTCTTGACGACAACTGGGTCGCTGAAGTTTCTTAGCTTCACTTGGTTCCAAGCTACGTCTTTACCTTCTTTTTGATCGAATCCTCTGTAGACTTTCTTCACTGCACCTGCACCTAGGAGATCACTGTATCTACCAAATCTTCCTGAAGGATCGATCTCAATGAATTCCTCTGTATCTTGATCAGATGGATCAGAATCTGTCACTTGCATCCTAAGGATTTCTTTTGAATCCACGATTGTTATCAAATAGGATCCACCAGAATTATACCTAAATCATGGAAACAACAATCAGTTTAGCTGAATACATGACATGAAGCTTAATAGCTTATAGCTAGGGTTCATTCAAGATTCGAAAATTGTGATGTTCAACTAAAAAGCAACGATTAAAGTTTCAACTGCTCAAATTAGTAATCGCAAACGAAGTAAGAGATTCACAAAACTATTTACAGTGTAAATACAATCAGAAGAAAAAAAAAAGTCCGCAATAGCGTAATGTAAGCTTCAATGTTCTTACTTCCATAGCCAATTGCAATAAGTGATTTAAAACAGATAAACATCGACAAATATCAACACGATGATATACGAATCAGCGAATTCTAACATTCGCATGGTCTACATTAACAAGGAATCAAGAATCCGATTCATTACGACATTAATGAATGTATAAAACGCAGAATACGTAGAAATTTGAAAGAAATATGGAAAACGTTTGCGGAAATTGAACTAGGGCTATAATTTTAAGCAATATGAAAATCAAATGAGATGTTAGATATAAACTTATACACAATCGACTAAGAAAAGAAGAAGATCAAATTCATACCTTGACGTTATTCAGTTCTTCAGTTCTTGACACGAAACAAACACCTGAGAATCGTAAATATGAATGTGGGAAGAGTGGGATGAATGTGGGAGTCGATGAGTATAAATAGGAGAGCGATAACGACTCCGTACTTCAAAAAATTAATTAAATATGATTTAATATTTTTTTAGGGCGCTGACTTATTTATTTATTATATATTTATATTTAAATTTGAACTGGAATTATCCGTGCGTTTCAAGGTTTGAGTATGGGCTATTTCGTCTTTTGGCCCATTTCAAAATTGTTATTTAATATTTTCAATATTGTAAAATTTTAATTTTAAGAATTAAATATTAAATTATTCTATATGAAGTAATGAAACTATGATGTGTTAGGTAGTTATCATTTAGATAATTCAAAATTAAACACCCTGAAAATATGCTTTTGCGAATTTTGTGAACTATAGAATATTTTTTTGAATAAATATAATGCTTAATGATTGTATATAATAATAGATTAAGTTACAAGAAATTGTCCTTGTCATTGCTTGATCTACAAGCTTTATCCAAAATTTTATTTAATTTTAAAGAGGTTGACTCTTAAAATGGCAACCTATTTTTATTTTTCATGTATTTGTTCATTGTAGCATTATACGGTTATCTATTTCTATATTTTTTAATTGTGTTTGTTACGATATTGTATGTACAAAATATATTTTATTATGGTTTATTTATTCTTGTGAACATTCCTAATCACGATTGTCCTCCATCTTTATGTATGGACCCACATAGCATATTTCAATCACCAAATGTGGAAAGTTGTTAGAAATTAAAATGCACCTTAGGGTTAGCCTTAACATGCGCGCAGATGTCTATTTAAGTAGGAAGTGATCGTGCAAAAGATAAGATATAAGGAAGATACGAGGAAAGATCATGTATGCTTAGAATGGAAACTCGTATGCATTATGAATTCGTATGCTTAGAATGGAAACTCGTATTTAGGTTTTCTATTTCAAAAGAAAATATTATAGTTGTGAGGTGGAAATAGTAATAGGAAACTTTTGAAATATATAAAATTATATAAATAATATAGTTATAATTTATAAACTAAATTATAAATATAATAATGATAAATTAATTTTTATAAACCATAATTATCAAAAGTGAAAAACCATCCAAATTTTAATATCAAGTGATAAATTTTTTACAAATAAAGTAAATAAGACTTTTCAACTTTGTAAAACTTAGGCTAAATATTTTTTTTTACATATTACAAATGTTTCGATGTTCTAAAAGAAACAATATTATTAATGATATTAATTGGTTAACCGGAACATAGAACTGAAAATATTGGTAAAACGAAAATCGATTAACCATATTTTTTGGTTTAAAAAATTTGCGAACCGCAACTGTCGGTTAACCTTCTGAAATACTTCAATTCGGTTAACCATCCATGAATACCCCAATTTGTTTCAAATAAAGACATCTTAAAATATATGAGTGAAAGTCATTCATAGTATTCATGGTCTTAATGGGGTCTCAACTTTTTTTTGTAAAAGTCCAAATGGTTCGAGTTTATGGATTTCTTTGACTAAACTTTTTTGTATGTTGCATGATAGAAACATTGTCTCTTTTTTCTATCTTCGAAAACGTATTAGTAATCAGGGATCAGATTTTAGGATGAAAACTGGTTGGGAGATGGGCTTCTTATGGATAGATTCCCTCGTGTTTATGCCTTGGAAGCTAATAAGAAATGCCGAGTTAGCGATAGATTTTTGAATGGTGAGTGGGTGTGAAATTTGAACAGATCTCTTTGTGAAGGGGGTGTCACAACTTCTCATTTTTTTGGGGTTATTGAATTCTCTCTCGGGTGCAAATCACGAATAAGGAGGATAGATGGGAGTGGGTTCTAGGTCCAAATGGTGTTTTTGGTGTTAATAATATTAGACGTCATATTGATAGCAGTTTATTACAAGATGAATGGGGTGTTACTCGTTGGTGTCATGTGATTCCTATAACCGCTGTCCGAGAGTCTCGAAAGTTGTCTACGGCTCAGACCCCTAGCAGAATGTCACCAAATTCTTGGTCAGTCGGGTCAGAGGAACAACAATCTTGGAGAAATCCTGGATGAATCTTCGATAGCAACACGTTAGACCAAGAAAACTTCAAATCTCAGATGGAGACCTCGGAACCTCCCACTGCATCACGACCTCTATCTTGGCCGGATCGACCAGAATACCCTTCTGGTTAACAAGGTTCCCCAGAAACTACACCTCGCACAACCGGAACTCACACTTAGAGAACTTTGTGAAAAGTCTCTCCATCCTCAGTGTCTCTAGCACCTCCCTCGGGTGCTCCTCATGTTGCTTCTGAGTCTTGGAATAAACCAAGATATTGTGGATGAAGACTATCACATACCGGTCCATCATCAGTCTGCACACGCGGTTCATGAGATCCATGAACGCGGCATGAGCATTGGTGAGCCCAAACGGCATCACCACGAACACATAGTGACCATGGCGAGTCCGAAAGGTTGTCTTCGGCACGTCGTCGTCCCTGACTCGCATCTGGTGATAACCAAATCGCATATTAATCTTGGAGAACCAAGATGCACCCTGAAGTTGGTCGAATAAGTCATCAATCCTCGAGAGGGGATAACGGTTCTTCACTATTACCTTATTCAGCTCCAGGTAATCTATACACATCCTATGTGAACCGTCCTTCTTCTTCATAAACAGGATCGGGGCTCCCCATGGCGAACTGCTCGGCCAAATAAATCCATTGTCTAACAGCTCATGCAGTTGTGTAGACAACTCCTACAGTTGTGTAGACAACTCCTGCATCTCGGGATAAGCCAACTGATATGGTGCCTTGGCTATTGGAGCCGCACCATGGACTAGGTAAATCCTGAACTCTACCTGCCTCTCCGTAAGGTACCCCAGGGAAATCCTCTAGGAACACGTTCGGGTACTCCCGTACGATCGGTACATCATGCACTATCGCCTTACTCTTATCCCGGGTATCCATAACATAGGCGACAAAACCTGCACAACCCTACTATAGGTATCATCTCGCCCTCACTAATGAACACAAAGTTGGCCCATGTTGCGGCCTCTCGCCCTGAATTACTAACCCTCCCCCACTTAGGGTCCGAACCTGCACTAGTTATTGCTCGCAATTGATCATTGCCCCATTGGGGCTCAACCAGACCATCCCCATGATAACCTTATTCCCTCGAAAGGTAATTGGGACTAAATCCATGGAAAACTGCTCATCAAACAACTACAATGTACATCCCCAATGAACCCTCACAACCCGAACGATCCTATCATCTGATATCTCTACATCAAGTGGACAGTCCAGCTCCCCTAGAGCTTCCACAAATCACTTGCTGAGTGTGAGTGACACAAAAGATCAGGTAGCCCCCGAATCAAATAATACCAGAGTAGATATATCGTTCATAAGGAACGATCCTATAAATAAACACATAAACATAAGCAATAAATAAATATAAATAAAGAGATAAGGAGAAGATACATACCCATCACCACATCAGGAGCTGCACATTTCCCCTTCTACGTCATCTGAAAGGCCCTGCTCTTCGCTACAGGCTCCTCTAGTCGGCCCTATCGGTCATCCGTAATCCTCAATGTAGCAGGAGTGGGTGTCGCCACCTGTCCTGATGCTGATAAACTCGGGTACCGGGACCTCTTTTGACCCCTTTGATTGCACTGAAAGCAAATCAGATATGATATTGTGGTGGTGGTAGTGGTAGTGTTAGCAGTACAGTCCCTGCTGACATGACCAGTTCAGCCGCACTTAAAGCATCCCGAACTATCTGCCCTGCACGCCCCCTCGTGCATCTTGTCGTACTTTCCACAGCAGTTGTGGCCCTGTTGGCTCCTCAATCGATGATCTGATACCTTGGGCTTTTTTCCTGGACTCCCTATCTAAACCCCCTTTGGTTTCCTCTTTTTCTCCAGCTCCAAATCTAACTCCCTTTCCCGAGCCCTCGCAGTCATATCCTCCAACGTCTTTCAGCTAGATCGACTCACAAAATGGCGGATATCACTCTGCAGCATCTCATGGTATCAGACCTTTTTTATCTCCTTGTCTGCCACGTACTGTATAATAAGAAGGTCCCTCTCCCTGAACATGATGGTAACCTCAGTCACTGTCTCATTAGTCCGTTGAAGATCCTGGAACTCCCTAGCAAGTTGTTGCACCTCAATCACAAGAAACTTGGCCCTAAACCTGGCCAAGAAGTCAGTCCATGCCATCGCATCTAGTGTTGCATCATCTCCAAAGGTATGTCCGAACTCCTCCCACCAGTCACGTGCTCTGTCCTTCAGGAGACAAGAAGCAAGTCGGACCTTGTCCCCTTCGAGACATCGGCTCCTACGGAAAGCGTT